ATTAATTCGCTTATGTCCACAACAACACCGCGATAACGAACCTGAAAGAATTTTTAAACAATAATACTACAAAATATCAATTTTGTTTTTTTTGTTTTTTTTTGAAATTTTATCATGATTAAAAGATTAGTAATTAAATGAAAAGTTGATTTAGTTAATTATAATATAATAATGCTTAGTTAATTAGAATATAGTACAATAAAATTTCTACAATGAAACAAAAACCTTATATTTATTTGAATGAATAATTACATTTAATTAATATGTATTATTTTTTTATTAGATTATATAAAGTAATGTGAAATATATACTTATAAGTATTCTTACATCTGTAAGGTAAGGTAAAGCAATCTGGTGTATATGCTTATAAATACTAAAATGAAATGTGCTAAGTTAACCTCCATGAATACTGAATCAGGTGAGTCTTCACAGTCAAGTCGTGTTGCAATTGGTTCACCTTGTAGGACATGTTGTGATCCTAATAGTCCATCTCGATAACGAACATTATATAGTACAACTTCATAATCTGATATAAAAAGATTTTGTAAATTAATAAAAACAAGGACAAAAAAAAAAACAAAGAACAAAAAACAATTGAATGGGTATAAAAAATTTTTTAATAAAAAAAATATTCAGTGAAAAATTTACGAACCAGTCCAATCACCAGTACCAATCAATACTACACCATTATTATCACAACCAGTATAAACACCCTGAATAGCATATAAGCGACTTCGTCCAATAATTTTAGCATCAATTGGTGAATAAATATCTGGAACACGCATTTCCTGCAAAAAAAAGTGTTAAGGTTTTTTTTTTTAAAAAAAAGGAAAAAGGAGTGAAATATGAATGTGAAATAATCAATCATTAAATAATTTATTTTTATCTAATTGATTAAATTTTCTAATTAAAATAATACAAAAAAAATTTTTGTTTAAATTGCAATAATTTTTTTAAAATTCATTCCGATGAACATATACTAAATAACTTCAATAATTCGCATGTAATGCTATTTTTTAACACACACAATCGAATAGTTTTAGAATGATACAAAAAAAATTTTTTTTGATTAAATTTACTTTTTAAAAAAAAAATTAAATTTATTTTTTACATATTTTCTAATTTATTACAATAGTGATCAAATATTTTAATTTGATTGATTAAATTTTAATTAGAATAATGTGAAAAAAAAATTACCTCATCATCATCGCCCCGTATTTTTGGACATTTAATATCCCAACCACGTACTGCATTATATCGACTAAAGAAAAAATAATGATAAAATTTAACATTGCAAAGATAATCTGATAATAATTCTAATTAATATATATATATATATATATAACTAATATATATATATATATATATATATATATATATATATATTTAATTTTCAAACAATAACAAATACGATCTCTTGAAAATTAAAAAAAAAAAAATGTTTGGAAGAAATATACTGATAGAACAAACCTGTCATATTTGAACGGCAAACCTAATAATTCATTTTTAGGATTTGATTCACAAATTTGACCAGTACACATACCTGTTAAAATAGTTTTTTTTTTTAATTTAAATTTATCCATGCATCAGTTTTAATCCAATCTGTATGATATCTTTTTTTTTTTCTTTCAACTTATGTTAAGTATTGCCCGTATTGCTCATATATCATTCGATTGATAACAATTTAAATTTTCATCTTAGTTAAAATATTAGGCATTTAAATATGTACAATCACTTTTATAACTAAATTTTGCTAACTTTGTTAAATTTTATTAAGCTATATTTTTATATTTTATTTGCAACAGATAAAACAAAAAAAAAAAACCAAAAAATATAATATTGTCCATCTATCAATTTCTTGTAATAATCCAATTGAAATAATTGAAAAAGTTACAATTCCAAAGATGAAATGTTGGATCAATTGGTCGTCCTTGTTTAAACAATTGTAATCTAACAAATGGATCACCGTCATCATCCGCATATATGCATCGATGATCTTTTGCAATTCCAATTCGTTCACCTTTTTTAACTCTTCCACCAAAAACATCTAATGTTATCGATGCGATCAATACATGATAGCCTTAATTGAAATATTTCAAAATTAATAACTAATTGTAATGAATTTGTTCAATAGCTATTATGCAACAACTGCAATTTTCATTCAATCATTTTTTTTTTCCTCATCTCTTAATTAATTAAATTTGATTTTAATAATTCGACTAAATATTGATTGAAAAATATCAAATTAATCAACACTAATTGTTCATATTTGTTAATCATTAATTTATTTCAAAGCTTATAATGATAACCAATGCTATAACATATTTATCGATTTAAAAGTTATAGACATTATTAAGGGAATACAGAGCTATCTTGTTTTCAAGTATTTTTTCTGAAAAAAAAAAAAAAGAATTAAAATATTAATAATTAAACTATAAGTAATGTAATTTAATTTTAACTTTACATTGTAATTTAATTTTTACATAAGTTATTTGCAAATATTTTGATTCATAAAATTACTCGTTTAGATCAAATTTAATTTTAATTTCAAAATATTTGTAAATATTTTGATTTATGAAACTGCATATTTAAAAAAAAAAAAAAAACAATTAGCACACCTTGCCATTGACCTATTCCTTCAATTCGTACACCTTCATCAGCGCATTCGTAATTTACGTGGTTACCAAATGGTTTCCAGAAGTAAAGATCACCATCAAATGGCGCATAAACTTCACTTTGTGGTGAACATTCTATATCAACCGCTTCAAGTAATAATCCATCACGTCTAAAATTACTATATCATTTTAAATTATAATAATAATATAAAAAGCTATTTGAGAATTTGCTAGTTTTGCAGTTGATTAATCGGAAACCTTCAATGATTAATATATTTGAGAAAAAAGTATACAAAGTAAAAAAGTATGTATATATTTCATAGATAAATAAATTTTAATTATAAATTTTTTTCTTTTTTGTTTTGCGTGTACAATATTGTATAATAATTATCATACTATTAATAATAATAGTAATAATAATAACCAAAATCTTAATGTTATTGTAAATAATCTTTCTTCACACGTTTGAAAATAGGGTAAAAGTAATGTTATATTACAGATTAGTCACTGCAAATTTGTTTGGTAAATTGATTCATATTTTATAAAATAAAAATAATTTTCATTCTGCATAATTTCTCATTAATCCATCCTTAAGCAATTTTATACCTTTTACTTTTGTAATGACCACAAAATTCGCCATCGCATTTAATCAGTTTGTTTGTTTCATCACTTTGACATATTCTTCCCATACATCCCAGACCATACGCTGAAAAATTACAAATATTTTTTACCAAATATAAATTTATTCATCTTATTTGAATAGAACTTAATTAAAATTTCAATCAGTAATTAAAATAAATCCTTTTTTTGTATGATTATTATTTATTAATTTTTCAAATTATTTAATTTTGATCATTTGGTTATAAAAATAATTAGTAGGAGAAAGTAGTAGAAGAAAAGTAAAGCTTCATTTAAATTAAATTATTACATTTTAGAATGCAAACTTTTTTAAACAATAAATTAATAAATTTTTTAAAAAAAATGATAAATAAATTAAAAGTAATAATTTAGTTTTACATGCTACTAATAATAATTGAGTTTGAATTATGTTACAACTTATGACACCACAACTGATTGATTACTTATATATTTCTAATCATTAAAAGAAAGAAACTCAAGTGCTACTTACTAATTAACTATTTGATTATTGATTAAATAACTAACCTTTTGAAAAAAAAGCGAACAATAAATAAATGTATAATAGTGATGAGGTAGACATCATGATTATTTGGAGATGGCTGAATGAAGATGCTAAGATGCCTGTCTAACCAAAGGTGCAGGTTAATGATCAAATGATTAATTAGCGCCTTATCACTTCAATCTCTATGCGTCTATGATAAATCGTTGCTGATTATCTTCTACTGACAAACACCTGCGGTTGGCTAATCAATGTATGTGTATGTGTGTGTGTGTGTGTGTGTGTGTGTGTGTGTATGTGTATGTGTGTATGCCTTATGCATCAGTATATAACTCTCATCTTCATATCATTATATATCATTTCTATAAAAAATATCAATATGTAAACAAAAAAAGTGGAAATTTTGCAATTATCATTAAATTTTTTATCACAGATTATAAAAGTTTAAGCATTTCAATATGTTATATGCCGAAATATATACGATCGATCAAATAATCAATCAATCAATCAATCAATCAATTAATAATCAGCTAATCAATTACCATATATGTAATAGAAATATTATTATTTGAAACATTTTTACAAAATTATTTCAATACTAAGCGTTTATTAAAAACACTTTTCAAATAATTGAGTGGGAATTCTCGGTAAGTTAATAAAATAAAAATTACAAAAAAAAAAAAAAAAAAAAAAAGGAAAAAAAACATTAAATTGTACACTTATTAATTGATTAAGCTGTAATGATATAATTGAAATTCAAATAAATAAGAAAAAATAACTACCTGGAAGTTAGATAAGAGATAATAATGTTTTTAAAATATTAAAATATTATCCAATGGAGTAAAAGTTTTTTAAAGACAAGAAGTTATCGTAAAATGACTAATTTTATTTTCAAAATAATTTCTTTTTTTGATTAATAGTTTATCAACGAAATGATAATGTTACCTTATTTTTTTTATTTTATATTTTGAATTATAAAATTTCAGCACATAATTCACCGCAACTATCATCACAAATTATCTGCATATCATATTATTATCTTTTTTATTTATAAATCTTAAATGCAAATTTATGAATACGCCAGTAGGATCATATCAGTGTATTTGCTATTAATGCATAATATTTTATTAGGTAAAAATTTTAATTGAATAGACTGATGAGAAAATGAAAATTCTAATTAAATTACCAATTATAAAATTATTTAGATATAAAATTATTATCCCAAAGTATTTGCAATCACATTGAATTTAAGATGAATGAATAGTGTCAGATTCTTGTGTGATATGTTTTAGCTTTAATTTATGAGCTTTATCATGCAACATCAAATGAAGTAATCCTTTCGTCTTGTCAATTGCTTTGTAACCACATTTAGAACAATTATATGATAACTGTTGCTCCATCTCATTAGTATGATGATTAAATGATGACCTATAAAAGATTATTATTATCATTACTTACTATTATTATTATTATTAGTAGTAGTAGTGTAATAGTTATTATCACTATATTGTCTATGCAAAAAAAAAAAACGAGAATGAAATCTATAACTAAAATTTATTTATAGCACTGTAAAATATGTATTAAGATAATTTAAGAAAAAAGTATAGTGATTAATTTTTAAAATATTATTTTTCAAAACAAAATTTTTTTCAAAACATTATTTAGTGATTAATATACCCAATTACAGCATTGGTTGTTTCATTGGTGCAATCAATAAATTTCAATGGTTTCTTCATTTGTTGCTCATATTTTCTTCCATTTATAATTGTTTCAGATGAAATTGAATGTGAAAATGCTAGCCATTCGTTGCAATATTTCATTGTTTGCTTTCTTTTAGCATTTAAAAAATATTTTAAATTTGATGAACTAAGAAATAATGCATAGTGCTTTTGAAAATGGCGCAAAAAGCGATCAGCATGGCTAAATCCTTGTTGGCAAAAATTGCAGTGATAATGGAGACGTTTTTTTAATTTACAAAATGGTCGACTGCAAAATGCAATAAACATTTTTGTTGGTAAAATTGATTCCATAGTTGATGTTATCATTGGTATATGCTGAAAATATTATAAATGGCAAATTTTTTTTTATAAAAAAAAAAAATGCAATAATTTTCTTACATTATTCCTTTTTTCAAATTTGACTGAAATTAAACGAACAAATTAATAATTAATATTTTTACCAAGCATTTTTAGAAATGCTCGAAGAAAAGTGCATAAACAAACAGCATACATATATATTTATATCTTTATGTTATTACCAATAAATATTTCAAATATTAAATGGTATGTGAATGTAATTTTTTATAGTGTTTAAAAAAATCTTTAATAAACTTAATAAAGGATAATAATCACAAAAGAAGATAATCGTAATTTTTTCCAACAAAAATTAAAAAAAAAAAAAAATTCATTCATTCAATTTTGACCGTAAAAAAAGAAAATAAGCATAAAATGTAAAAATCAAATAGTTTATTGTAAATAATAGAATTATAAGAAGAAAATAAAACAAATTACTTACTTTTGGAATGGTTAAGTATGCTTGAGTTGCATCACGATCGTGATTTTCGAGATTAGCATTGGATATGCTATAAATTAGCATATGAACAAAATTTCGAATGTAATAAAAATGCACAGCTTAAAATAATCATACTTTATTAGCCATTATTTTTTAAAAAAAAAAATGAAAACTTACAAAGGATTTGTCATATTGCAATTATTCATATTTTTGATAGTAGTTTCAATTTTTGGTAATTTTACTGAAGCATTTCGATTTATTGAATCATTTTTATAAGCCTAAAAAAAGCATGTTTCCACTTCCTTCAATTTCTCCAACAATTCATACTCTTTTGCTTTTTTACTAAAAAGAAAGTTAGAGTTTAAATTATTTCTTCTACTAATAAAATTTTAATGATGAGATCTACCAATTCATTAGTAGTAGCATCATCTTGTAAATATTGGTAAAATTCTTGTGACAAAAATGACATTTGAAAATCATTTTCATTACATTCATTAATTTTTCACTTGATTGATCGATCATACCTTGTGAAACTGATCAGCGAATTAATTTGCTCATAGAAATGTTTCAAAAATATTTCATCAATTTGTGCAAATGAAAGATAATAATAAAACAAGAAAAAAAGAATGAGAAAAATGAAGAGCATCACTTGAAATAAAATTACTAAAAATAATATTTAATAACAAATAGAAACAAAATAAAAAATAAACTTTACTTTTTTATTTTACATATTTAATTTTTTAAATCAAAACAATGGAATTTGATTAAATTCATTGATTAAATAATCAAATAGTTATTCTTCCATGTAGAATAAATTTATTACTGCACTCATATTTCTTTAGTAAAAATCACAAAAAAACCCTTTTCTTTCAAATTTCATTCCTGTTGAAGAAATTTGATATAGCAATAAATTTGTTTCACATGAATGAGTATTCAGCCATTTCTATATCAGTAATAAATATGTAAAATAATAAACTGACAAAATTTACCAATCAAAAATTTATCAATTTTTAATTACAAGCAAATCATATGCTTATAAAAACATTATGCGTAATAATTTTTAAAATCAATTTATAATAGAAATAATTAACCTTTAATGTTGTTATTTCTCCAATTGATAAATTATCTTTTATGCGTCTTTTTTGACGTAACATGCTGCTAAATTGTTGTTGTTGTTGCTGTTGTTGTTGTTGTTGTTTTTGTTGTTGTTGTTCCTGCTGTTGTTGTTGTTGTTGTTTTTGTTTTTCATGAAGTCGAGAACAAATTTCATCCAATTTTTTCATATTTCTGAAATTGTTAAGCTAGAAGTAAAGATAATTTTAATGGTTAGTAACAGAATAAGCACTTATTATCATTTCTTGGTTTCCAAGACATCCTTCCCGTTTCTTTCCTTCTCTCTCTCTCTCATTCAATAGTATTAAATAAATCATTTTTATTTTAACAACTAACCATTTTTTTTTTTTTGAAAAGCGAAAAAAGTAAGGAAAGCTGTGCCATATAAAATATATTTGTCTAATTTATTTATTCAATTAATTAATTATTTCTAAATTTGTTTATTTTTATATACTGCTTTAATAAAAAAAAAAAGTGGATGACACTACTACTATCAAAATATTAGCACTGTTTACTATCATTTTGATCATTTTGTCATTCTGTGACGAAATACATCATCTGATACTATCACTATATCATTATATCATCACTGTTCTTATCATTTATTATATTATATTATCACATATCATTATCATTATTGCTATAATTTTGATAATTCAGCTATTACTTATATCATACTTGATAACTGCAGCACTAATGCTGCAGTTTCTATTTATCAATACAGTAAAAATTAAAACAAAAAAAAAAAATCGAGAAATTATGGTTTGTTATCAAATAATCATTCGTTCCTATTATTTCTTTTTTTTTAAACAAAATTATTCAGTTCTCAATAGAAAAAAAAAATTAAAATATATGCGTAAATATTTCGTGAAAGAAATATATTTTAAACTATTATTTTACATTTCGTTTCTTTTTCACTCGCCTTATTAATTTTTTTTTTTTCTTATAACTTTTAAATTAACAGATCGTAAATTTGATAACGGGACGAAAAAAAAAAAAATAATTGCTACTGGTTGATTATTATATTTCATGCATAATATATTATAAAAATATCAATCTATATTACTGATCATTTAATTAACAAATCATTACATTCAATATGAATCAATTTGAAGGAAAAAAAAAATTGCACTATTTTTCTTACTTTTGTTAACATATTTATATACTTTTTTTTTCTCATTAATTTAAAAGTTATAAATAATTCCAAAATAGAAATTAATTTGAATTATAAAGTATGACAGGAACTATGATTCATTTGCAAGATGTATAAAACGATCTTTTATTAATCATAATTTATTCATTATTCATTCAATGCTAGCATAAGCTAAAATTTTTATTTATTGAGTAAAGATTACAATTTATCGAGAAAAAAAATTACGATTGTTAAAAATTAGCAATTATTTAGCCTATAACAAATATTTCATTTTTTTTTTTAATTCAAACAAAAATTTTTTACTATGTATTTTCTTTTCTTTTTTTTTTTTATAGTGAAAAGAAAACATTGATCAATAATTCGACTATTTCTTAAATATTAAAGAAAAAAATAGCAAACATTAGATGGCAAAAATAAATAGAGGAAAGTAAAAAATGAATAAAAATTTGATATATGCAAAAAAATTCTTTAAATTTTTCATTCATTCCACTCCTTTCTCTTTTTTCTTCTACCATAAACTAAAGTACAATTATTTATTAAAAATTAAATAATAAAAAATATTTAATTTATTATTTTCAAATGTTTTTTTAACATAACATATTACTTCATGGAAGGCAAATATTTCATATACAATAAAATAAAATATTTATTTGTATGAAAAATTACAAGAATTGAAAAAAAAAAAAAAAAGAATGAATAAATTTTTTAAATATCATTAATTATAATAATATTTTTAACTGAATTAAATGATTTAATTTATAGTACATATAAAAAGAATTAATGTTTTCAACTTTTCTTTTCTTTTTTATAATATTTCATCGCATTCACTTCTCTTTCTCATCATTAATTATTTTGCGAAAAGACTTTTTTTTTTTTGTCTAATAAAATATATTATAAATTTAAGAAATAAAACCAACGATAAAAAATCTTTGAATAATTTTACCAATTAATTAATTCATAATTTTAATATTTTTTATAATGCATAAACAATCACATTTATCTAATTCATTATTGCAAAATAATAAATAAAAAGCAGTACTAAAGTAAGTTATTATTTATTAAATTCAATGTAAATAATTTCTTTTTTTTTCATATTATAAATAAATTATAAAATTTCAATAATTGTTAATTATTAGAATGATTTAATAATAAAGCAAATGAAATGGTAGTAAATTTAAAAAATAAAAAAAAAAATAGTGAAAAAAAATTCTATCAATAATTTGTAATAATGATTTAATTAATTAATTATTGAAATTTTTATTAATTATAAAGAAATTAAAAAATTATAATGGTTTAAATAAAAAAAAATGAAGTGAGAGGAAATTTCTATACTTCTACTGTTTAAAAAGAGACAATTAATGTGAAGAAGCATTAGGGATAAACTTTTATGCTTTTTAAAATCAAATAACATTTACAATTTCAATATAGCTAATATATTAAAAGATATATATATATATATATGTATGTGTGAGAAAGAGAGAGAGGGAGAGAGGGAGAGAGAGGGTGAGAGAGAGGTAGAGAAAAAGAAGGGATGAAAATGTTAAATAATGCTCGATTTGCTTTTCGGCTTTTTCAAACTTCCTCTTACATTAAACGAACTATTATTAGCAGCAGATTAATGGGATTGTGTAATATGTAATCAATGAGCAGACAATAAATTTTGTTACTTTGATATAAATTGCATTTTTATCTTATCAATTTTTATTGTAAATATTTTGTTATCATTTTTTCTTTTTCTCTTTTGCTTTTCTTTCAATTGGCTACAAATAAATAATGTTAAAAAGAATAATTAATACTAAATAATATGAAAAAATTTTTGAAAGAAAAAAAGTAATTGATATTAAATAATGTGAAAATGAATAATTTTATTATTAAATAATATTATAAAGGATATGTTATAAATGATTGAAGATTATCATTCCTATTTTATAAATTATTCTAACCAAAAAAAAATTCTAACTAAAATTAAAAATTAATCTATGGTGGAGCAAAAACGAAAAAAAAAAAAACAGAATTTTAACGATAAATGATAGATATCTAAATGAACGAGATGATAATTATATTTTGTTTGATAATTTTAAGATTAATAAATAGTTGAATGAAATGAAAATAGTTGATTATGCTCAATCAAATAAAGATGAAATATCTATTAATCATAAATAATATTAAAAACAATAATTGTCACTAAACAAGGATAATTATAAACGATAATGAGAAATGATTTTATAAATTTAAAGCAATATAAATGAAATGATTTGAGTGAAAGGATAAAATTTAATTTAATCATTACTGAAAAAAAAAATGAAAATTATTTGAACGGACAATGTGAAATATTTCCCAAATAATTTTATTCCAATTTCAATTCAATATTTTTTTTTGCATTTTTTTTTTTAATTATTAGATATTTTTAAATTACTCGTTTGAAAATTATTCGTTAATTAATGACAGTTTGGACAAATTATCCTTTATATCATATTCGGCTGTCAAACGACAATTTATTTTGTTGTGTATTTGAAACGCACGACACCAATCAATTTAATAATGGTAATTAAAAAATATAGCGAATCTGAATATGACGTGAATCATAGAAGGTAATTTATAAAATTTATTTTACAAGAATACATATCAAATATAGCAAAATTTCTAAGACATTTATAAAATGCCAAATTTAATGCTAATGGGTATGATTGAGGAAAAGGTTGTCATAAGGAATTTGATAATAATACAATAATGCTTTCACTGAATTTTAAAGTGTTCATTTTCAAATTCTAATTTATTATCGAATTTATTAGCTAATGTTCACCATTTTATAATAACACTGATTCAATAACAACAAGATATTATTACAGTAAATTACAAATTCTATCATATGTCTATTAAGAATTGAATAACACATATCAAAGTGGTAAAAAAAAATAAGATAAATGATATTTATCACTGTGTTGTATCACCGGAAATATATTTTATTCCATAAAAAGGAAAACAAGTTAATAAAACTCAACAAATTAAAGAAGTAAGCATAAAATATACCTGTTAGTAGGAAGTGAATAGTTTAGATTATACTCTTGTCAGGCGGAATTATCATTAAGCTCATTTTAAACTTCATTTTTAAAATCATTTTAAACGATTATCTCAACAATTTCCACATATTTGTCAACTTATATCACACTTTTCTTTCATCTTTACTTTCGCTTCATGACTTTTCCCTATAACATATATTTCTTCTTCGCCTAATTACTTCCAAAAATTGAACCAGAAACATTTTCAGTGTTCAATCTCGGTAATTTTCCTTGAAAAAGAAAAAAAGAACATATATATTCGTCTATTTCTTGCAAAACATTATACATCAAAAATGCTAATTATTATATCATTCATTCATTTCTCATAAAAAATCCTACTGATTAAAAAATGTGACAAAAATTCAATAATGCAAGGCAAATTTTTGAAGAAAAATAATATTCTAGCAATCGAATTGTTATTATTTAAAACTAATTATTATACAGGGTTAAATTTTTTGCTGCAAAACTAACAGTTGATAAAAAAATGATGAATAGTTGGAGGAAAAAAGTAGTCATGATTGAATTTGGAAAAGTATGTGTTGAATCATAATTCATCGATGAATACAAGTAACAATTTAAATTTTAGGCTGATAAAATTTTGGGAATAAATTGAGCAATGCAAGATGAAGCATTTCGGCAGTTAAACCCCAAATGCGATATTCATTCTGCGGTGTTACGTTTGTAGCAAGAATATAATGACGTGAAGTGAAAAAAACCGGTAATTTGTATTCCATATTACCTGCAATACAACAAATCATGTCATTTATGATAATAAACATTAACATACTTTTATTTCAATTATATAAACATGATAATTTATTTGTAACAAATAAATTCATACCATTCTCTTATTAAGTACAAATTAAATCACTTAAAACCCAAAATTACATTCAATTCTATCAAAAATTATAAAAGCAATGCATTAAATTAACCTACCAACTTTTTGAACATATTCAACTAGTCCTTCTTATAACTAAGTCAATTTTGGTTTGAAAAAAAAAAGAAAAAATCAATAATAAGCATTATTCTGATTCAAAAAGTCAATTTGATAAGTTTTTATGCAAATAATTTATGAATAACCTTTTCTGAAGTGTGTATAACGATGTTTCATACAAAGTTCATCAATTGGTGCAGCGAAAACAGTTTGAACTTCATCATATTTTGCTTTAATTTTACTGAAATCAATACTGTCATGTACTAAACCAACAACTGGCGTTATAGTACTCATAAAACGTGTCGTTATATATTTTAAACAACCCCAAACTTCAACTTCATAGGAATATAAGCCAATCTCTTCAGCACTTTCGCGTAATGCTGCCTGAAATTATCCTCATATAAATGGCATTATTTTAATATTTACATGTATATTATGATATAAAAATTATTATTTCAAATGTAGCAAATCTTAAATCAGCAAATATTAGCTTAATTTGTCTAGACTATAAAATATCTCCGAAATTTTACACTTTTACATTCGTAAGTAAATAATTGATGTCTTAAAACATTTGCCATTTATTTTTTTTTTTATCATTTCAGACGATATAAGTATAGAATTATTAATAATATTTGATCTATTTGTATTGGAAAATAATTAAAAGAATAATACTTTACAAAACATACCTGTTCATAAGTTTCATCTTGCTCTAAACGTCCGCCTGGAAAGCTTATCTCACCTCGATGACCAGCTAATAGCAATGATCGATGAGTGAATATTATTGATGGTGATTTATCAATATATGCTAATGGTATTAATACAGCACTATCTCGTTTCTTACTAGATAATCGTTTAATCGGATAAGATGAACGAATAGGATTTATTGATTGTTGCTTAAGACGTTCACAGAAACGTTCACGTAATTGTTCATCAAGTACAATTTGATATATTGTTGTTGATGATAATCGTTTTGATATTTTATACATTCTTTCGTCTTTTCTTTTTTTTTCTTAGATGTTCTCCAAATTTTATTAAATTATTGTAGACAGTAATAAAAAATATCTTCCCCAGCTACTACATTATAAATTTCTCAATTTACGTTTTTAATCCTTCATCGAACTAAAATAAATTGATTGAAAAATATGTACAAACAACACTGATATTGAACGTGAAAGAAATTATCCTATATAATTGGAATGTTAATATGAATCGTAAAAACAACCATTACGCAATTAATATTACGAATCATTATTGATCATCAATGATCATACCAAGAATATTACTTTTATGAAATATGATACTCCAGTTATGATCTTTCTAAATATCCATCATTTGAAAAAATTTCAATAAAACGAAGTGTACTTCCGGCAGTAAAATTTCCAAATAAACTAATAAGTAAGCTTATAAATAACCTATTATACTTTGCCTCATATATTAACCTGTGAATTCATTTCTACCTGGATATCATTCCTTCCGACACATGTAAGCATATCATCTAAACATATTACCTGTTAAACTATTACTTCTTATTCTTCTATTACTTCTCCATCCTGATTCTTATGTATTCTTATGAATACTGTCGAACTTTTTCTATGGAAAGAACGAAACGTCAGCTAATTAGATCCATCTTTTGAAAGTTAGAGTATGAAGAGTAGAAATGTATTTCATAGACAAAATGAAGTCTGTGGTACTTATATTCCAGTTAATTGATGCAATAATACATATGAAACTAGGTTTTATTGATATCAGAACATGATAACGCGTAGCTATTCAAGAAAAAGATAAGATATAAGACGATAAAACAACGACGAACAATTTCAAAAATAAAAAGAAATGGTAGTAAGCTCATTTCATCCTGAAGATGTCACGCAGCTTCTTTCGAATCTCTGTTAACAGAATTAATTTCACTTCCGTTACACGTTATCAACACAACGGAAAAAGTAAAAATAAAAAAGCACAGGGAATATGAGGAAAGCAAATGCAGAATGCGAAGCCAAACATAAAACAACAAAACACAAGAAAAACAGAATTAAAGGAAGTTAAACGCAAAAAACTCGTTAGAAATATTCACAGGAAATACAGTTACTGATCCTAAATGGACATCAAAACTATAATTATTCATACTCTATTCACTAAATAATTAGCTTTTCTGACCCTGAAGTAAGAGCAATTTTACATATTGTATCATCATCTAAGATATTCAATTCCAATGGAATCCTCCGAACTCCGTTACAACTTTTAAAGCCGTTTGAACAGTGATCTGAGATCAGCGAAAGGTGACAGAAAATAAAAAAATGACATAAAATTTACAAGCCGCATGTTACTTTTCAACTCGTTTTTTTTTTCCTTTTTTTAAGGAAGAAGAAAATAATATGATATTAAAAGGGTTAGTAAAGGAAGTGTTTCAAGTAGGCGGTACACCGGTGAACGAAACTTCACTATAAAGTGACGGAGAATTCCTCGAAAAGAAGGTTAAAGCAAGCATCAAGCATAAACCTGCAGCCAGCAAACTGAAAACAAGTATCGTAAGCTTGGTAAAATAAATATTAAAGAAAAAATTTCTTTATCTCATCCTCCAATTATACTTTTGATTCCTTAAACATGTTCTTGAAAATCAATAGAGAGAAAGTAAATTGATAGAAATGAAAAATACAAAAAATCCCTGCGAGCATCCAGGGCGGAGGAAACGGTCAAAACAAAGGTAAGCTGATATTTGATGATTAAAGTTAATATATATCTAATTAACGGTTAACATGAAAATTTTTATCTATAATTAGAATGTCCACGAGAACCAGTTAGCATATTCTTGTTGTCGAAGCTATTTGATATCATTCAAAAGTTTGGCACATAAAAAGGAAAATTATAGTTCAAAGGACAGTTTTTTTAGCAAATAGTATGACTGAAAAATATCCAATTTATCAAATTATTTATTTTCACTGCTTCATTTGATCGATAGACTTTACCCTTCTTGTTTGGAAAGGAATTTTCAAAACCAGCAAAAAATTAGAAATACTTGCCCAATATTCGCTATCAATAAAGCTGACAACGAATCATGAACAAATGGTCAAGAAGATATGAAGGAATGCCAGATAATAGTTTGTAGCGAATAGTCTAATATGCCAGTTACTCTTCATAATCCACTGTAACAGCTCGGAATAGTTACGAAAAAAGGAAAGAGCGGATAGGATATCACCTCATAATATTGAAGTTACTACATTGTCGTTGTCGTGTTAAGAAGCTTTTTTCATCGGAATGTTCTTTAAATGAAGAATTTTGTTGCTGCAATTGCATCATCTGAAAAATCATTTTTTATTACATTCATAATTTTGCAAAAAAAAAGAAAAAAAAAAAAAAGGAAAGTGTGGGAAAAAATCTAAGCTAAGTAGATGGAAACTATGACATGACAACTAAATTAGTTCAATCAACTTTTTACACTTTCCGATTAATATAAATTAATTTCCTTATCAATAAAATTCAACAGTGTTTTATAGCACAGTAATACATCAGTTTATTCAAGACCACTTTTCTGATCCATTATATTATGAAAATTTTTGGACTGTTTAACATGCTACATTAAGCATAATTTAAAGCTACCTTTAATAGCTGACAAATTTTAGGATTAGTTTCTGATTTAAACAAAAAGTACCATACATTATTAAAACTATTACCGTTAATGCTAAATCATACAAAACTAGAAAGAAAATCAACGCTTATCATCAAATGCATAGAATACCATGTAATAGGCATGAGTTGTAAACAATCGCTGTTCCTCTTCTTGCATTGTACGGCTACGTTCATGACTTTCTTTCAATGCTTCAATCTGCAAAATTGTATCGAAATTTTCATAAAAACCACCATTTTAATTTGCAATAATTAGGGATACAGAATAAATAAATAGCAAATAGTCACAATATTTAATAATCTACACATAAGCCATTTTTTTTTTTTTTTTTTTTTCATTATTACCACTTTTTATGCAAAATCTGAATTCAGCCTATTTCTTTCATGAAAGCATTTAACAAGAAAAAGAAATACATTTTGTTTGTATGTATCCCTTTCACGACGAATTGAATCAAATTCATGCCTACTCAGTGCACCACCTTCAACAGCTCGATTCTGCTCCTCCAAATCTTCAATCATACGGCGTGCTTTTTCCATATAATGTGTCAACCTGTCTTTTTCATTCTTTACTTGTTGTTTTGACAACGTTAGCTCTTCTAGAACAGAAAAATAAGATAGACAAATCTATTTTTCTCATAAATTTCAACTTTAAATATTAGACAGATAACTAGAGGCAGTAAACTTTAAGCAATCTCAACAATATTCTCCATATCCACACCATTTAATGCTTTCTTTTCAGCGATCTGCTGTTCCAGATCACGAGTTGCTTGCTCGAGTCTTGCTTCAAGCTGTGCTATTTGAATAATCATTCGTTCCCTTGCTGTCTGCTCCTCTGTTAACCGATCACTGTTCACAAAGTTACCAGATTCAATTATGGCATTCAGTTCTTTCAATCTTGAAAACATACACACTTTTATTGAGGAATAAGTAAGTTAAAATGTTAAAATAAATGAATATCAACGACAAGTAGTGACTATCATTTCCAGTTGAAATACACTGATCTGCGGAATTTATTTCTAAACTTTATTGATGCAAGATGGAAATTCAATAAAATGCCATAAAAATTGTGCCTGAGAAGAAAAAAGGAAAACCAAGGAAATTTTCAATTTTAGTCATGATTGCTTACCGTTTTCTCAAGTCATCTGATTTGTTATGTGCCAATTTAAGTTCTGTTTCCAAATTTCTCTTCTGAACAGTTAGCGAATTAAGTTCTTCCTTTAAACCCAACTTTTCGTCGTCCGCCATATTTCCAGCTAACAAACACTCGTTTTCTGCTTGCAATCGAATGACTCGTTCTCTGGAATAAAGTTCGAATTTAAGAGAAGCAAAACAGAACTGAAGAAACTTTGTAAGCCTTCCCGAGAAAAAAAAAAAAAATCTATTAAATGTAATTTTAACACCATATACGCCTACATACAGAGCTATAAGTCTTAGACATTAACAACTAATAATTGATAATTAGATAGTAATTAGACAATTGATGATATTCTATTTTTTCGTCTGAAAGTAACCTCAAAATAGCGGCTGAATTTGCGTTAGTTGTTTCATCGTATAATGATGGAGCACCGTTGCTATTATCTGAAAGTATTTTATGAAAAAGTTCCGACACTGGCTGTTATTTTCAGGTGAATAAGAAAACTTCACTATGCACTCACCATGCAAAAGCAGTTGTTCACTTAATTCACGTCGTTCTTGTCGAAGATGCTCTTTTTCCTTTTCAATCTCATCAATTCGTTCATTCAGTTGTTTGCAATCAAATTCAGCCTGAAATAATAAGATATAAAAGATATTTAGGATCTTTAACAACAAAGTGTAAAGGAATCAAATTTGTTACAGTTAATAAAGAGTCATTATACAGCAATCAGTTTCATATCAAAAACAGTACAAACCATTTAATTCCAAATAGTAAATTAACCTTATCAGATCGTCTAATTTCATCGTTCAATTTTGCTCCCAACTCCGAATTTTCCAATTCCAGAGATTCAATTTGAGTTTTAAGCGCAACATTCTTACGCTGCTCATCCTCGAGAGCTATGATACTTTCCATGTATGTGGCCACTTTATCTTCCAGTACTTTCATTTCAATCTTTTGTGCCTTATACCCTTCTAGAAAAGAAATCACTTTGTATTTTCCTTCTTATTATTGAGATATGTAACTATCTCTACTGTATAACAAATTCTTCATAAATTCAGAAAGTAAATTCCCGAAAATTTCAAATAGGATCTCACAATAACCTTAGAAAATTTCAAAATATAGGGCAACCACACCATCAAAACAAACAGACAAAATACAATTCACTTGGCATAAATGATAACCCAATATTTTCTGCATAGTTTAACTCTAATCCACTACAGATTTTTCTCT